TAATAACTGATTTTGCAGTATCAATCACTATTATTCTACTGCGTTACTAACGCAGTAAGAGGTATTTATGTATATTTTGACCTCCTTTTGGTAATTTAAGTGGATTGTAAGTGCCGTTTGCAATGTGTAAATTACTATTTTTCTTCACTTCACAATAATTCACTTTTAAATACATTTTCAATATTTTCATGAAAATAAGCCTGAATTTGGTGGCACGCTGCTATAAAAATGGAAATATAGAGATTTTTTAACCAACTTCCACATACATAGGCTTTGCCTAATTTCATATTAATGCCACGGTTTAAAACTGTACATTTTCCTCACCCTGTGACACTTGGCGTCCAAAGTTGGGCCGTGTCTGGATATAGCTCAGTTTAATTTACATTGCTTTATAATAACTCTGTGAAATTCAAGGATGAAGTTTAATATAGCAGGGGAGTATGTCACGGTTCAGAACTGTTCACAATTTAGGGGGGGGGGGAGATGTGTAAGCAGCCGGATAGCTCAGTCGGTAGAGCAGCGGAAAAGTATTCCGAAGGTCCCGGGTTCGAGTCCCTGGCAGGCTGCACATTTTCCTCATCCTGTGACATTAATGATATTACCAACAGAATCTTGGTCCAGGAAAAAAGAAATCATAATGAGGTGTTTTCAAACGTCATGATTTACCTTCTTTCTCTTTATCATATTAACGTGATTTACCTTCTTTTATTTATCATATTAATGTTTTTTTTTTTTTTTTTTTTTTTTTTTTTTTTGTTTTTTTTTTGTTGTTGTTTTTTTGTTCCTGCCAATCCTGGCCACATGCGCAGTGAATAAAGCATGACCATCGGCTTTCTCATCTTCTCATTTCTCGTCTCTTCTGTCCATTTCTCTAATATTCCGACGTCGGCTGCATATATATATATCCAGACTTAATTTTTTTTTCATCTTAGAAGAGGCTTTAAACGGGACATTTAACGTGGCGCAGTCGCTTAACTTAGTGTCATTGGGCGATTAAACATAGGCACTTGGTTTCGGGTTAGATAACCCTTTGAGAGGTTTGTAGACATACAAGTCGTAACATTATGGACCTTTACGGTGTTTACAGTTTTATGTAAATTGGCTAACTTGTTATCCAATGGCTACACTGAGATAATACATATAGTCACTGGTTGACCTGGTTTGCACAAAAGAACACGTTCTTATGTTTGTGATACTGTCAGCAATGAATAGAAAAGGTGTGGCTAAATGTTCCGCAACGAAAAACCGGAAACTAACATTGTTTTTATTGGAAAATAAAAAGCAACATTACATAATCAAATCATTCGTGGGGAATGACGTGACATAAATTCAGTTTTACATGTACATTTACTCGACAATAAGACTGAACACTTAAATAAGACGGGACCCGATTTTACATTCATATATTGGCGCTAATTTGTATTAACCATTAGTAGTAATAATCTTAAAGGGATACTCAGACAAATAAGTAACAAAAATATCAAAATTATCTTATGTACTCAAATCAAGCTAAAATAACATTTGTTAAATCAAAGCATGAATTTCTGTATCAATTTTATATGTTTTTGGGTTTTTAGGCGTTTATATATCTATATGTAGACGCCGACAGAATCACCGAGTATTTTTAAAACTAGTCATGTGACTTGAACACACCCTGGAGTTACATAAACAGATATTGTGGATATTGTATGATTGAAACAAAACCTTAAACATTCATTAAACATGTTCTTAACGTTTCCAGAGTTCACTGTGACAACTATTGTGAAATCTTAACGCTCAAACTTGGCCCAGGTGGGTGAAGTTAGGAAACCACCATTTTATTCTTTATATGGAGAAAAGTTTTGTTCCCGAGACTGTCTAGTGTATTCATTTTGAAGACATTTAAAGAATAATGAATGAAAAAAATCACAACAAACAAATAAAAATTTTGCCTGTCTCCCTGAAGACAGCTAACTGCTAAAATAGCAACTTAACAATATTGGATCAATGCTAGTAACAAATTCTATAACTAGAATAGAAATATACATAGTGCATTTAAAAATATTCCAAACAATATGTTAATATACATGTGATTATATTTATATGCAGACATTTTCTGTAAAAAGTTGGTTTATTTTTACTTAGAAAAAGTTGCACATAATAACTACTATACTACAGCAAAATATATTAACCAGCTTGGTAAAAAAATCAGATTCTTTCTGCATGTTCTGGTTTCAAACTTTGACTAAAATCATCAAGGTAATAAGTAAAAGGTATCCAAAAAGAGGTGTCCAAATAAGTTTGCTTTTAGTAACAGTTTTTTTTAAGTTTGATAACTGTATATCATACATAATTGTAGTTACCTTTTCAAAACCATGTTTTCTTCTTTTTTGTAGTGACCTAGCTGATTATCTAAGAGGATAAAAAACAATCCTAAACTCTATATTTAGTAAAAATGGCTTTGACCCTTGCAGGCTGCAAACAAGAAATCCAAAAAGGTGTCCATATAAGCTTCCTATACCAAATTTGATTATAAAATCCAATTCTTAATTGTAGTTATGGGCTCATTTTTCTATTTTTAGAAACCCTGACCTTGACCCTTGGGGATCAAATATAAGCCCCAGCAAGATCTCCACATAAGCTTGCTGTAATACAATATCCAATTCCTAATTGTAGTTTATGGACTCCAAAACATTTAGAAACCGTGACCTTGATCGTAGGAAGGGTGGGCAAAAGTAATCTCAAGCAGGTGACACATAAATTACCTCATTACAATAATCGTGGAGATAATTCAGGGTTTTTCAAATATTTGGTTTAAACATATTTATTTTAAGCTGGATTGCGAAACAAGTTATATTAATTACTTTTAAGTCCGCTTCCTGGAACCAACCAGTACTGGTGTCATATGAAGAAACATGGTCGTGACCCGAGTAGGGCTCGAACCCATGATCTCTGGGTTGAGAGGCAGACACCTTAACCACTAGGCCACCGCTCCCCTTACCCATGGCCATTTAAAGGGTCCTAGTCACATTCTTCAAATTTGAATTGAAGCCCATAGGCTGAATGTTCAGTCTTAGCATAAAGGTTATTGCTTTTGAAATAAAGTTGTTGTTTGTTTGTTTGTTTTTGGGTTTTACGTCACATCAACACAATAAAGGTCATATCGCAACGTTCCAGCTTTACTGGTGGAGGAAGACCTCAGTTGCCCTTTCGTGCATAATTTCAGGCACGAACGGGCACCTGAGTAGAGCTACAGACATTCCGTAAACTAGCTGGATAGCTTCCTCACATGAAAGAATCCAAAGTCCCTGTCGGGATTCGAACCCACAGCGGTGAGGGGCAAGTGGTATGAAGTCAATGACCTTAACCACTCGGCCACAGATGCCCCCTAAAGTTGTTGTGCCCAATATAAAGTTATGGGCAAAAACAATATCCCCCACTGACCATTCAGTTGACAGATAGTTTAAACAAGGAGCATAAATATAAAGAAGACAAATATTATGGTAATGAATTTTATGACGCATGATCTTATTATTGGACAACACTGTGCAAGTCTATATTACAATTCCATATTGCATACAAAATGTCACTGGAGTTGACATAATTCGTTACCTTAGTGCAGTAACTGGTTGACTCTATATAATTTAACAGGAGATAATCTGTTACTGCACTAAGGTGACAAATCATTTACAGTCAGAATTTCAAATAGATATATAACACATGCAATTAAACTGTCAAGTAAATAGTACATACATGCTCATTTTAATATTTTCCATAGGAAAAATTTAAAGTTAAAAAGTAAAATCCTATATAAACAAGCAATTATCATAGTATTGCAAGCAATCCATAAGTCCCCTACCGGTTAGAACCCCATCAACATTCTGAAGGGCCATTGGCCATTCACTTATGTTTCAATTTTTCTCTATTTTAAGTAAACTTGTTGGAAAAATCTTTAAAAGTGATCACAGGAAACAGTTTTTATGAACAGACAGACAGACGGACTGAAGGACACTCTAAAGTTAATATTTGAAACATCCCTGTTACCAAAATATAACATTTTAAAAGCAGAATTCTTAAAGAGGAGATAACTCTTGAATTAAAGATGCAATTTCATAAAAATTTTCAGCTCTTTTGACTAATCACAAATATTGTTATATTTGCCATGTTTTAAGCCTATTTGTTGCCAAGGCAACTGATATTTTTTCAAAATAGGAAGAACAGATAAGACATGCATAATCTCAACACTGCTATCTACCCATATGTCAAGTTTCATAAAAATATTTCCAGTACTTTTTGAGTTATCACTGGATTCAGTTTATGTGTAAAATTTGCCATATTTTCAGTCTATGTGTTGCCACAGCAACCAGAATTTTCAACATAGGAAGAAAAGAAAAAAGACGTGCATAATCTCAAGACTGCCATCTACCCATATATCAAGTTTCATAAAAATATTTCCAGTACTTTGTTTATGTGTAAAAATTGCCATATTTTCAGCCTATTTGTTGTCATAGCAACCAGAATTTTCAACATAGGAAGAAAAGAAAAAGACGTGCATAATTCCAAGACTGCCATCTACCCATATGTCTAGTTTCATAAAAATATTTCCAGTACTTTTTGCTTTATCACTGGATCCAGTTTATGTGTAAAATTTGCCATATTTTCAGCCTATTTGTTGCCATAGCAACCAGAATTTTCAACATAGGAAGAAAAGAAAAAGACGTGCATAATTCCAAGACTGCCATCTACCCATATGTCAAGTTTCATAAAAATATTTCCAGTACTTTTTGCGTTATCACTGGATCCAGTTTATGTGTAAAATTTGCCATATTTTTAGCCTATTTGTTGCCATAGCAACCAGAATTTTCAACATAGGAAGAAAAGAAAAAGACGTGCATAATCTCCATACTGGCATCTATCCATATACCAAGTTTCATAAAAATATTTCCAGTACTTTTCAAGTTATCGCGGGATCCAGTTTTGTGGACTGACGGACTGACAGACAGACGGACGGACAGACGGACGGAGGGTAAACCTAAAGTCCCCTCCGGTAAACCGGTAGGGGACCAGAATTTTCAACATAGGAAGAAAAGAAAAAGACGTGCATAATTCCAAGACTGCCATCTACCCATATGTCAAGTTTCATAAAAATATTTCCAGTACTTTTTGCTTTATCACTGGATCCAGTTTATGTGTAAAATTTGCCATATTTTCAGCCTATTTGTTGCCATAGCAACCAGAATTTTCAACATAGGAAGAAAAGAAAAAGACGTGCATAATTCCAAGACTGCCATCTACCCATATGTCAAGTTTCATAAAAATATTTCCAGTACTTTTTGCGTTATCACTGGAATTCCAGTTTATGTGTAAAATTTGCCATATTTTTAGCCTATTTGTTGCCATAGCAACCAGAATTTTCAACATAGGAAGAAAAGAAAAAGACGTGCATAATCTCCATACTGGCATCTATCCATATACCAAGTTTCATAAAAATATTTTCAGTACTTTTCAAGTTATCGCGGGATCCAGTTTTGTGGACGGACGGACTGACGGACTGACAGACAGACGGACGGACAGACGGACGGACAGATGGACGGAGGGTAAACCTAAAGTCCCCTCCGGTAAACCGGTAGGGGACTAATAAAATCTATGCTACTGCAGGTTCTATAATAAATATATAATTTTCAAACCATACCTGCAGAATATGTAAGATGGTTTGTTTGCCTTTGAATTCATCATGAAAATAGGTGGTGCAAACCCGAAAATAGTAATGTTTTAATAAAATTCTAAATGTTTTCAGAAATGTTGTATGTTCCTATCATATTAGTTACTATATATTTAAATTTGGATTTAACATTATGTTATCTATCTAAGCTCTATTCTGAAGAAGAACGCTTTCCGGATATCTGAACCACTTTCAAGTCCAATTCCTGAAAACTTACAAGTATGGGTGTTATATATGAGACAACAAGGTTGTGTTGCCAGTAGGGTTTGAACCCACGATCCCTGTAATAAGAGGCAGACACCTTAACCACTTGTCCACTGATCTCCTTTGAATATGAAACAGATCATTGCAAGTTTAAGGGATTTCTAAATCCAAATGATATACCGAGGGTTGACAACAAAACTGCAGTAACTAACATAAATGAAGTAAAAAAAAGACTTGCAACAGTTTTGTGGTCAACCCTTGATACGAAAAGTCATGTATTGATAAACACAGCAGTCAACAGTATACAACCTGGCCTGGCTGTATACTGCAGGTATAAACAACAAACCAGTATAGTTGAAACCATTTTGATGGGTTATGCCCATTTCTGAGATTCAATCTTGACATTCTAAAAAGAACATTCTAAAACAAAGAGGGCCATAATGGCCCTGAGTCGTTCACCAGAAACAACTGCTTTTCAGTGTTGGAAATTATTTTTCAAATAAACATGCTTAAAGGCAAGTCCAGCTCTTTTGGCAAGTTCAGCTCAACTTGAACTTGCCCCATTTGTAATATACTTTCACAACACTGACTGTTTTGGTTTCTTTTCTTCAAAATATACAAAAGGGCCACTAAGATGGCCTTAGATCACTCATCTAACCCATCATTTCATTATTCAAAATATAAATTGAAATATTTTGCCCTAATATATTGGAAAGGCTTTGTTAAAAATATCTGTGTTGCAAGTGTGTACCTATGATAATATGTACAATAAAGGCAGAATAAATTACTACTAGAGCAGGTTTAATTTTGATGGGACAATTTTTTATAAAACTTTTGTGAATGAATTCACAAAATGTCACATGCAAAATACATAAGGTATAGATGTTTGAACAGTTTGGGAAAACAATTTTTTTACACATTCAGAAAATTTAATTTCTATATGGTAACTTAACTGTGCCTAAAAAAAGACATTAATATCAAAAGTAGGTCAGCTGATATCAAAATTCAATTCATTATCAAAAATTACACAAATTACACCCCTGATCCAAATTTTAAGTCTGTAAAAGACAAAATAAGGAGGTCAAGCAAAATCAAAGAAGGCCAGTTCATATCATAATTCTATTCAGGATCAGAAATTAAACCCCATGTCAAAATTTCAATTCGCAACAGAAATTACATTTCTGGTTTAAATTTCAAGTCTGTACATCAAAAAACCAGAAAGTAGGTGAAATGGTTTCAAAAATATCATTAACAGCTCAACTGATACCAAAATTCACATGAAACTTCAGGTTCAACAGTATGTCCTAAAATTTAATTGAAATGTGCTTTCTCAAAGTTTGAATCCAATTCAAAAGTTCAACATTTTTTAACAAAATTCAATAATAAAAATACAAACTCATCTTTTTTAGTAAGGTAAAGGAAATAAATGTAATCTTTCAATAGGTCTAATTTTATTTCCTGGGGAAAATTCTCTATTCTGACCTACAACTGACCCTACAATGATGCAATATGCTGTCCGAATTCTAGAGCTGAAAGATATTTACACATTATTGCATTGTTACCTAGCTTAACTTGTAAACACTTAATAGTACCAGAAATAGATATTTTTCTATACAAATGAAAGACAATGTGCAGATATGTTTACTGTTCAGATACAAAACACATGACCTCAAATCATTTCTAAAGCAACATTTTTTGGATAAATTGCATAACATAATATACACATGTATGGAAGACATTCCAAGATGACTTGTTTCATTATGAAAGATCCTTGAGTAAAATATTTCTATCAAAGAAATTTATTGAAATCTATGAAATTCTTACTGAGTAAGTCTAATTTAGATAAAAGAATAATTAACTATGTATGGAGAGCTGCATTCCCTATTATAGGCCAAGTAAAGTTGGTCTTTTCTATAAAAACTAGAAATGTGTCCATAGGGCACTTGTGCCCCCACACTCCACTGTTTTGTCAATCTTATGACTCTGTGCCAAATATTTTTTGGGTTACATGTGCCACAAGTTAAAAACTAAAAATCTTTTTATTAAGTAAAGGGCAAGAACTTTACAAGTACTGAATAAATTCACAAGCCAACCCCATGGTGCATAAAGTACACATGCTGACCAACATTCTTGTAAACTTTTAGGCGTACAGTTCAAATACTGTACTTTTTGAGCTGTGCATGAACAAGTTGAAAATTGCAAATTTATACCAAGTCAAGGGCAATAACTCTACAAATACTTGATAAATCCACAAACAAAATCTAAGGTGCAAAACTACATATGCTGACCAGCATTCCTCTTAAATTTCATGACTCTAGGTTAAATACATTTTGAGCTACGCATGACACAAATTGAATATTGCAAATTATCACTTAGTCAGGGGAAATAACTCTGACAAAACATATTAATTCACAAGCAAAACCAGATGCAAAACTTCACATGCTGATCAACATTCCTGTAAAGTTTCATGACCCTATGTCAAATACTTTTTGAGTTACTTGCGACACAATTTAAAAATTGCAAATTTTTAATAAGTCAAGGGCAATTACTGTATAAATACTAAATACATGTAAACGAAAATACCCAGATGCACAACTACACATGCTGATCAACATTCCTGTAAAGTTTCATGACCCTAGGCCATGGACTTTTTTTAGCTACATGCAAAACAAGTTGAAAATTGCAAATTTTTATTAAGTCAAGGGCAATAACTCTGACAAAACAAGTAAATCCACAAGCAATCCCAGGTGTACAATTGCACATGGTGAGCAGCATTCCTGTGAGGTTTCATGACTGTAGGTCAAATACTTTTTGAGTTACACAAGTTGAAAATTGCAAATTTTTACTAAGTCAAGGGCAATAACTCTAAAAATACTAAATATATCCACACAAAAATACCAAACTGCAATTTTTAGCAGTTTAAAAGTTATGGAGCAGACACGAAATGCAGACTTTTTATTATGAAATGAAGACTTTTTAATATTTGACCTTTAAGTGTGACCATGACCTTGTGAGTATTAACCCAATTATTGCGCTCTGCACATTGTCTCATTATGGTGATCACTTGTGCCAAGTTATTTAAGAAAAAATTTAAGCAGTTAAACAGTTATGGAGGGGACAGAAAATGTAGACTTTTTATTATGAAATGAAGACTTTTTAACATTTGACCTTTAAGTCTGACCTTGAACTTGTAGGTATTAACCTAATTATAACACTCTGCACATTGTCTTATTATGGTGGTCACTTGTGCCGAGTTATTTCAAAAAAATTTCAGGAGTTTAAAAGTTATGAAGTGAACACAAAATGTAGACTTTTAATTATGAAATGAAGACTTTTTAACATTTGACCTTAAGTGTGACCTTGACCTTGGGGGGTAGTAACCCAATTTTTGTGCTCTGCACATCATCCCATTACGGTGAATATTGTGCCAAGTTATTTTAAATTTTTTTCAATAGTTTAAAAGTTATGGAGCTGACAGGAAAGTGTTACGGACGGACAAGAACGGACAGACGAAAGCCATTCCTATAATCCCCTTTCCGCTATGAAAAAGGGGATTAATAAATATATCCACACGAAAATACCCAGGTGCACAACTACACATGCTGATCAACATTCCTGTAAAGTTTCATGACTCTAGGTCAACATATTTTTGAGCTATGTGCGACACAAAATGAGGACGGACAGAAGGACAGATGGATGGATGGACAAGCGTAAATCCCCCCCCCCAAAAGTAAGGGGAAAAAAACAGCCAGTTTTTTTATGACACTATATAGGCCTATTCATACTGTGACCACCTGTAGTGTGAAGAGTTTAAAACATAATATATCTACTTTGTGAAGTCAAAACATGTTTATTTTATATTTATAAAGAGACTGTGTATCTATTGTCAATATTTTCTAATATTAAAGTTGAGCATAGAATATCTTACAACCATAATTTAAAAAAAAGCCATGGCCTGGGGCATTTAAGCTCTAGCAGCCCCTAATGGAGGCACTCAAATCAATATGAGCAAACTTGATAAAAGACTACCTAAAAATGCCACAGACAAAGTTTGGTGATCATCCATCAATTAGTTCTGTAGTAGAAGATGTTTAAAGGTTTTTCTATTTTCAGCTCTGTTGACCCCTAAAAGGGGACAATTGAAATGACATGAGCAAATTTAAGTGTGACTGTCACAAGGATGCTCCAGACCAAATTTGAGGTAAATCTGCCCTGCAGTTTCAGAGAAGATGATTGTTGACGCATGACAACGGACCCCGGAGTATCCCCTTTTGATAATAAAAAGCTCACCCTGAACCTTCGGTTCTGGTGAGCTAAAAAGGATTAAACATGTATATATGTTACTTAATTAGGTAAGAAAATGACAAATCTCAGGATCACAGGCCCAGCATTTTGCTTACTAGTGATTAGCTAATCTGGCAAGCTTGTTTAAAAAAAAATTCTTGGCTTTTTTTAACAATAAAGAAAATAAGTGTATCCAAGGCTGTATTGGTTGAGTAAGAACAATCAAATTTCAATAAAAAAAAGGCGAGTCACCCTCTTGGTATTAACAGTATCATTTTTTTCCAAAAGAAAGGACTTCAAAATAAATCTAACCTCTGTAGAGCAAAAAACTCTCAGCAGCAGCCAAAATCTTTGTTGACCAAAGGGTGTTTCTCTACACAAGTTTATACTTACATCACTAAAGTTATATAATATGTGTGCCCTATTTATAATTTTGGTATTGACCACTGCACAAACAATTTTAAAATGTTAAAAACCCTAAACTTTGCTTTTCATTTAAGAATCTAAAAATTCAAGAATATTACTGAACATTTACACACATCCCACCATAATTTTAAGGTATTTCTATATAATTATTAAAGCTTGGAATGCCAAGGCAACAGTTTGAGTCTATTCACAAATTGTACAGATGCCTGAATGAGAAGACAACAGTTAGGGTATTTTCATCCTATCAACAGAGGCTGAAAATGTATAGGACTCCATTCTCAATCCAAAACAGTCTCTTTTTTTCCCTCAAATTTTAAAACAAAAACTTCCAACAGCAGACAAAAACAATCAAACTGTTTTTTTTTAATTTTTGGGAAAAATTGAACTTTTCTGAATTGTTACTCAACAGAAATGATAGGTTTTATAACCATACAAATATATAAAAATTTACAGGCATGGTTAAGTTAGTTTTTTTCCAACTTTTAAAAATTTCCGTAAATTTCTCAAAATGTAAAATAATTTTCCCAATTTAAGCTTGGGGCCTTTTCCAAAAAATGCTGGAAAAGGTCCTGACAGTAAAGATGCACCTTAATTCGCTAATATTCAAAGACTTTGTAAATAAAAGTTACAAACAATCTTAGAAAAACTTGTTCTTTTTCTACACTCTTATTTCTTCATTCTAACATTGCACATTTCTGGTAGACTCATTTTGTCGAAAAGTAATTTCACCATCAAAATACATTTTATTGCAATAAACAAAATCACAATCATCTTAAAGGCACATTATGCCTCATAAACAATTTAATTTTTATTACTTTAGAAACGGCCAACATGAGTATTATAACATTTAAATAATGGTTTTAAAGCATTTTCGATGCTAGTTACCACAGAGTAGCTCTGAATTATGATATTATTTGGCATAAAAGTAGAAAAATGTATCGTAAACAAGTATTATTTTCCCTTCCATGCAAAATACTGAAAATCACTATAACTATACTAATTGACAAAAAGCAACAAAAGAAACAGATTATTCATGTAATTGGCCAATGAGCAACTTTTTTGAAACTATAAAAGTACATCGCATATAAATAAAAACTTTTGAGAAATAAAAATTACAACATTTCTGAGGCATAATGGGCCTTTAAACAAAAAATATTTCATTCTTCGAAGAATTACCAGTAAACAAAAACAGGATTTTAACCACATATCTACAACCATCCCCCTATTATAGTGGGTATTGATGATTATTATCGGCAACTCCTTTAAATAGAGTTTTAGCACTTTTTAGACAAACATAAATTAACACATATTCTATTTTAAGAAAAAATCTTACAATGCTGTTATACAGAAAAATAAGACGGAAACTCCTGAAATGCATGTTCTATCTGAGTCTATATAACATGTTTTTTATAACTTTTCTCCTATATAATTCTTTCTTGATGTATTCTTGTACATGTACATTCAATGTAATTATCCAAAAATACATGTACAGTTTTAAGTTAGTTTTTATGTTTTGCATGTGTGTGTGATTTTTTTCTATAAGTTTATACAAAACATATAAAAAAGTTACAAAAACAGTTGGTTGATCTTGCATGAATTATGTGTAAAATTTAAAAGCCATATCTGAAATGTTATTATAACAGGAAAGAGGTGTAAGCAGTTTTCCTAAATTTCATTTTCATACTGGTTTTATAAAATTCAGCAAAACCAAAAAGTGTTGAATTTAATTTCTTGATGTTCCATTTGATGTAAGTTTAGCCCAATAACAGTTACTTATGTACAAACTTTCAGATCATTTGCTCACTTTGCTTTTCAAGACTGATTATTCTAAATGTGGAAAATGACCCAAAACTGAAAAATGATGCAATGATTTTCACACAAATTGGGATAAAAATAGCACAAAAATATGTGACTTTCGACTTGTTTTTTCGAGTATATTTCTTTGTTATTTTTTGCACATCCTTCTGTTCTAAAGTGTTCATGATGACATTTGTAAGAAATTCAATTTTCATTTCTTAGAATCTAGACTCTTTATACCTCAGTGGAGTTCCTTTAATACATTGTTTTAGCAGATCACATGATCTCTTTATAATCCCCTGTTTTTATCTTGTGAATATCAACTCATAATATGATACTATTTTCTTCATTTTTCTCCCAAAATTTATTATTTGATTTGTCAAAAAGGTAGAAAAATTTGTCAGAAAGATAAAAAAAAACACTACAACATGACTAGGAGTGTCAATTAATTTACATATGTGCCCTTATGCATATCATAAACATGTACTACATCCAACACTAAAATGTGTAAATTTTTTATTTACTCATAATAATTATTTCTAAAACAAAAATCATATTATGAATACAATGTAGGTATAAAACTCTTTCAATAAAACCCTGATAAGTTTGCTTTTAATGATTTACAAAATTCTCACATACAGTAACAGATATACTCAACAATAATACAATGTTCCACAACTCTGATATTACACTAGTATATAAATCTTACAGTCTATCATGACAGTAAAGAATCAATTCTATTAAGTTCTACATCATTAAGAAATAATGAAAAAGTATGTCACAACAAAATGTTTGAAATCTACAACAGAATTATGACAGCCCCAACCTCATTTACTTATTAACCTATTTCCCTTTATTTTTTCAAATGACAGATATTTGTCTTAGCTTGGTTTACAGCCTTACAGCCATTATTTAGATCAAATGGAATATATATAAATTTTTACAGATGCTCGGTAATCCTAGTGTTTCTTACATCAATAGTACTGGCATACAAGGTAGAGTATCTGACCTTACATAACAATGCTGGATTACAGTAGGCACTAATGTGGCAGTGTGGTCGACGCGTCTGACTAGTAATCTAAGGATTGCTGGGGTTCAAACCCCATCAGGGGCAAGCCCTTGTTTCTGAGAACAAGAAACTTTACACTCATTGCTTAGTACTGGTTGGTATAAGGAACAAATCTTAGAGTGTTTAAATAAGCTTATAGCTTCCAACAAAATCAAACTAAAATAAATTAGTATAAACTAATAGTTAAAGAAACAGACCATAATTTAGCTGGCATGGACACACAACTAGGTACATTGTAGTCCTTAGAACTTCTGTTTAGTGTATTATTCTAAGTTAATGACAAAGACCTCTCAGTCTTTTTGAAACTTTTTTTTTTCAGTTGTGAACGTGTCACAACTTTTGGCTTATATAATTTACTATGTATCTATTTCTTGTTGTTTTTTGTATTGTTTTAACATCCTTTTGAGACATTTTACCCTACGGACTAGTCGTTAATAAGTTTTCACAGCTGCTAATTTTGAAGACTGATTTATGAGTAAATAGGACGACTTGACTTCTTCATTTTCTCTTGACACAAATATTTTTTTTCATAACTTATTAACCATGTAGAACTTTGTAAGTATACAATCTACAGTAACATCATCATTTCACTTTACTCTAAATACATCAAAAACTATCAATTCATCAGTCAGTCAGCAGATTCACAAAAATATACAAAAAGAAAATTGAGCCGCGTCACGACAAAACCAACATAGTGGGTTTGCGACCAGTCTGATCAGGATCCATGCTGTTCGCTTACAAACCCTATTACAAGTAGAGATACTGATAGCAACAGCATGGATCCTGATCAGTCTGCGCGAATGGTCGCAAACGCATTATGTTGGTTTTGTCGTGACGCGGCTCAAATTACATGCAAGTTATACATCTACATGTAAGACACAAGAGATTTTCAGCATCTATCTCTACTAGTAAACAATACAATGCACACATATATTTAAACTCTGTCCCTGCAACTCTTCACTGCAATCAGCATTAATTTGTTCAACCTTGCCCTGAAATCACTATATTTCCATGCACAAGTTATTTCCCCTTGCTATTTTTTTTTCTCGCCTTTGAAAGTGTACATGATCTTAATGATAGAGACTTTCTTTTATGTTGGCTATGTTCACTTCACTTACGCACACTATTTCTAGTAAGGCTACATGTAGTTTCTTTACCCAATATCTTCTAATCTTTTTCTCAGCTGTAGTTCTTTTACCAATCAGCTGTCAGTTATTTCGTTCAACTTCTCAACTTACCTCATACACTGTCTTTTTAATAAGCCTCTGTGCATGTTCTTTTTTCTCCTACATACCTTCTGTACAAAGACAGTATTACATGTAAAACTTTTCAGTGCTACACAACATTGTAATGAATGAAACCAAGTATAAAAAATGTAATTTGTTTTCTATGCTAAGCAAACATCATCCATCTAGCGGTTGACCTAGATAAACCATAGTGACTTCTGTATTGCCGTACACTGCAGAAACTGATGGATAAAGTTGAGTATCATTGGGCAGTCCTCGAAAAGCCACACCTACAACATAAAATAGGTTTTTATTTATTTATTTATTTTACAATTCTTATTTTAATGATAACTGTATGAAGAATTTACCTGACAGGCATTCAAGAAATTCTTTTGATTTCATCTAGTAACCTAATCTTTAAAACAAGATTGCATTTGAGAAAAATGCTATGCCACCGCATTAATACAACACTAAATAGTAGTGTAAAAACAGATTTTTTTTTGTTTCTATACAATTTTGAAGATTGTCATAATGCATAGATCCCTGACCTATCTAATTCTTATTATCAGATTAGTGGTTAAATCTGTTGTTAACTCAATAAAAGATCAGAGTAGGAATATATCAATGCACTTGAGTCTAGTGAATTTGATGGTCATATTTACACAGCCTAAATTTCATGACTACATCAAAGGACAACACAGTAAGACACTTTGTCAAAATCTAGGTCAGCTGAAATCAAAGCTCACTTAAAATCTTAATCTGTACACATGGTTCAAATTTTATAGCTGTACATAAAAGGACAAGAAAGTAGGAAAGTAGGAACAAGCCGACGATATGCGCATCTCCTCTTGATATTGATGATTCCCATAAAGTTTCGTTGAATTCCAGCCAGTAGTTGCAGAGAACTACTCCGGAAACGAAATTCGGACGGACGGATGGACGGACGGACAACACCAAAACTATATCCCCCTCCCGATTCCATCGGCGGGGGATAACAAATATTCAAGCTCTAAGCCTTGTACCTTCAGACAATAAGATTTTTTGATTTTTTACTATACATGTATGTATATATTGAAAATCAATGACCCCCGGGGCAGGGGCAATTTTGACCCCAGGGCTGAAGTTCACTTCACAATGTTTCATGCAAAATATCTAACCTCTAGCATTTGTCAATTGCTAGAAGAAATTTATTACTATAAAGATTTTACTATATACATATAAGGAAAACCAATGACCCCCGGGGCAGGGCCGATTTTGACCCCAGGGCTATAATTTGAACAATCTGAATAGAGGTCTACCAGACAATGTCTTATGCAAAATATCTAAGCTCTAGGCCTTTTGGGTCTTTACAAGAAGGTATTTTAAGTTTTTACTATATGTACATATAGTGAAAATCAATGACCCCCGGGGCGGGGCCGATTTTGACCCCAGGGCTATAATTTGAACAATCTTGGTAATGGTCTATCAGACAATGCCTTATGCAAAATATCTAAGGTTTAGGCCTTTTGGGTCTTTACAAGAAGTTATTTTAAGTTTTTACTATATGTACATATAGTGAAAATCAATGACCCCCGGGGCGGGGCCGATTTTGACCCCAGGGTTATAATTTGAACAATCTTGGTAGAGGTCTACCAGACAATGCCTTATGCAAAATATCTAAGCTCTAGGCCTTTTGGGTCTTTACAAGAAGATTTTTTAAATTTATTCTTATAATTCCTTTTGGTTACCATGGCAACCAGATTTCTGCATGGAATTTAATTCTTTGAACAACTTTGGAAGCCCTTCACCCAAGGATCAATCCTGCCAAGTTTTGTTGAAATTGGACAAGTGGTTTTTCACAAGAAGATTTTTTAAGTTCACTATATAATCTATATAACACACACACACACAAACAAACACACACACAGGTGAATCGCTATATGCCACCGCATCGCAGATGCTGCGGTGGCATAAAAAAAAGCATGACCTATATTGTACATAGATAGCCCTAAATAATGTTATTTATCACAGTATAGGACTGTTATTAGGGAGAGATTGTTTAACTGACCATGTAGCTTAACAAGCAGACCAACGGTTTGATTTTCAAAGTCCCTGGATCAAGTCCTGGTTAAGATGCACATTTTTCATAAATAATTATACAGTTTTGAGTCAATTTCACTTTTCCATGTACAAGCATGATGTACCCAAATTCCAACATAGCTGACAAGTACTATGGCTATGCCATGATATAGAACTGCTCACTAACAGAAGAGAATATGTAAGCAGCCCAGCAGCTCAGTCAGTACAACTGCAGAATGATTCAGAGGGTCCACATACCAGTTAGACTTCCAGGGTCAAAAAACCCTCCTTTGTAGAGGCCGAATATAGGCTGCTTCCCCAACCAGCCTCTTTTTTTTCCCTAGTTTGGTCCTCAAAATTCTCCAGTCTTTTGAAATTTCCCATAGAATTTAGATGGTGTTGAATAAAGGTCTTTTACTGTCTTATTAGTATTTCCCGGTGCTTTTAGCTTTTCTATTTTGTAATTTTTGAAGAACTTGTTAAAAGTTTGTGTTAAATTTGAGACCCCTTTTCCCAAAGTAAGGCATAATCACGCATATTTTCCCAAAGAAAAAGGCTGAGGCCCCTTCCCCAAAAATGGTGTTTTGGCCCCGACTTCACATTTTTCTCATCTTGTAACTTATTAATAAATAATAATTAAAACTGAAAAGAATGTCTTTACTTTGATACTAGCTAAGGGTTTTACTTGATTTGATTTTCATAGTACAATTAGAGCAGATCTCAATCATGCATTAGCTACATAATAAACTTTGATATAATGTAGGCCATCATTTAAGACCTAGGAAGTTAGCACATTCTACAACATCTATTGTGGCCTTTTATAAGGACATTATTCAATCTTTAGAGTTGATGAAGATGCTATTATCTGATATGCTCCCCTGTTTTGATGAAGTCCATGTTTTATCTAAAAAAAATGATGTTTAGTTTATTTCATGATAAATCATAAAATCAATTAGCTATTAAAATATTACTATTTACTCTTTAATTAGCTTTTGAAATTTCAACTGCAATCAGTCAACTTTTGCATAGTTAAACTTACATAATAATATAGTATAATATACATTGAAACTTTACCTAGAAATTCATAATTTTTCTCAAATGCTAACGTATTGTCATCACAGTCTAATATCACACGTATTCTTTCACCAACCTGTAAGAAATTAATCACATTGTTATATAACTGAGCTTGCTAATATACATGTAGTACATTATACATTATACTACATATATTTGTGAAATTGGTATTATTTGATTACATGATATTGCTCTTATTATAGTCTTAAAAAAACAAACTGTCAAAAGATTTCAATTGATTTTCGCCTCCTGGATGTTTGGCCTCAAAATCCTGGTCTTTTCGGCATCTTTTGTAAATTTGATAAAGATATAAAATAAAGACAATTGACCAATCAAGCTGTAACAACATAGGTCATGTCAAACATGTATATTGATATATCCCTACTGTACAGTATACAATATAACAACAAAAAGACCAGGGCTGAAACGTTTAGGAGGTGAAAAGACCAAAGCTGGAATGTCCAGGAAGTGAAATGTGCAGATATCATAAGAGTGGGTGGACCAATGCTCGGCGTAAAAATACTATATAATATTTGATATGACAAATTCAACATCAACAAACCTAAATGTTTTATGTTCATTTTCAGAACCGATGATATTGTTTTAAATAGCCATTGTGTAAAATTTGCTAATCACATAATGATGTACATGGCGGGAACTATAGATAGTCTGGATAAACAAGTGCAGTTTGGGTGAAATTGTACCATAGCTTGGCGTACAGTTCTACATGATGCAGGTTTGTTTTTCGAATAAAATCAATTTTTTTATCTTATGAAGAAACATATACTGCATAAATTGTAACAACCAAATTAGGTTCATACATTTACAAGTACCAAACTTTTAGTTTAAATTTTACAGCTTTTATGTTAAATTTTTTTAATAATTACATGTTGAGGATTACATATATGGTTGTTTGTCTGCTATTAGCATTGTCACACCACTTCACCAGCAATGAACCGCACCAGGATAAAATGGTGAAAGACGTTAATAAAAGCACCAGTGACCTAAATTGGAGATAACTTGAAACATTTTCAGATATTCTAAAGAAATATCTTTTACGTCGAGCATTGGTATGCACCGAGCATTGGTCCAACTACTCTACCTATTGAAAGAGGTGAATTATTTTTCTTAGTCCTTAATCAGATATCATTACCATGGTGATTGTACATTTTATGTTAGAATCATTTATATAATAAAATGAAAGCTAAAACAAAACCAAGAGGGTCAGTTCAGGTAGAAGAAAATTGCAGGACAGCTTTAAAAAAAGCTTGGATCTGGGTTACCGTTCCTCATTCTACTACTTAATACAACAAACATGTACATATAATGAAATTAAAAGTTCATCAAATAATTACATAGTTTGTCAGCTCCATAACTTAAATGTATTATAATTCACACGTTGTTCATTGGAAAAATAAAGTATAAAAGTATTCACACAATTCACTTGTAGGTACCTGATACTTGGGAGCATTGTTCAACAATGGAAAATTTCCTTGTGAATCTCCATTGTGTAATAAATGATTATCAACTAAATTCCATCCCCATGACTGATCATCTGTTCCAAGCAATGCTGAATATCCATGAATCTGCATGTTCGCAGTTTTAGTTGCTAGTCCAATAACTGCTATAGTACCAAGTGGCCCCTCCCACACAACCTCCCAGCAATGTCGACCCTGTTTAAAGCCTAATTTTCCTCGGCACCCATCAGTGCTTTGAGCAACTGGGTTCCGATGAAGTGTAAATCCATTTGGTTTAATATATATGTTTCTAGAGCAATCATTCGGATTCCATGCATGATAAAATGCACGCAGTTTCGCTTTATAAGTCGGACAATTTGACAAAATATCAGATTTCAACGCCTCTTCTGCTAGTTTTCGTACACAATGAAGTCTCCAAACGTCATTATTTTCGTCATTTAGAAACTTGTACCATGATTTACAGACTAAAGAACAATTTCGTAGGTCATTAATGTCTAAATAAGAAAATAAATTTTCTAAGACATAACACGGAAGGCTTTCGGCGGCCATTTTGATAATTTCACCTTTAGACTGGTCTACGATGCTTTTTGCAAGATTCGCCCGAATCACAAAAATTGCAGACGATTTTTTTTAATGAAAATAAAAACAATGTGAACAAATAACACGTGTATTTTAATATCGCCGTGGTTACAAGTAACTAAGGCTCCAACGTTTACAATTTTTTGTAAACGTTTACACGATTATACAAGCTAAGGGCCAAAGATCCCTGAGCTTTGTTTGGACAGTCAGATAGGCAGTATCTAACGATATATGAAAACAATGGCATTAATTAATTAATTAGAACGCAACCTCCAACAAAATCCAGCATTGATATGTACGGTACAAGTCAAACGAAAAGAGACAAAAAAAACAGGAGTGTTTTTATTAACAATGCCTTGTACACTTTATCATATCAATTTTACCCGTAATCTCACCTCACATCTTTCAGAATGATATAAATGATATCTCAAAAAAGTTCCTAAAAAATCTGGAAACAAAGTGATCCCTCAGAAGCATTAATCACAACAAAATTAGGTGAAAACTGCAGACTCGGCTTAAGTCTGCGAACGAGGGACAATGAATAAATGCAACACCCCACGCCCCCAGCACCGGCCTGATTCTTTTCAATCAATAGACAGCATGCAAATTTTATCATTAATTTAGCAAGTATATAAATTCGATATCATCCGATTTCTATTTCTAATTTATGAGCACTTATTCTAAATTTAGTGAGAGACGATATAATGCTTTGATCACTAATAAAATTCAAATAAGTTTTTTTTTAATTGAATAAGTTGACTATTTACCACTTCCTTCTTTGTAGCATTTATCTAATAAATAACCATTTGGATCTAAATTCACAGCACATAAAAAAAAAATTCGATAAATTCTTGGTGTGATGCTGATGCTTGAATAATTTTAATTTGTCAAAGACAAATAAATATCATACTTGTAAGTTTGTAACCCAGCTTTTTTATTGTTAATGTGTAAAGGTTTTAGCTTTCTTGAATTGCAGGATATATCAATGAAATTGGCTTGGTATTTAAAAGCCTATAAAGTATTTTTTGTTGTCTGCATAATAATATTTACATTTATATGCATCTATGCCGATAAGAAGAGTAACTGTTTAATTGTATGGAAAAAGCAAAACAACTATAATATATGTACAAAGGATATCTTACGCTTTCACATAGAATAGCATCATTTGGAGAGTTTTTTTTTTCAAACCTAAATGCTTTATTTGTAATTTGTCACAAAACAATTTTTAAACGAATTTTCAATAAATAATCATCTTTTTTTAAACATGAAAGAAATAAATAACTTTATTTGTGTTACCTCCGACCCAAACTACATGCATTTTGTATACATACAACAATTTTGTAATATGGTTGTGTCAAAATTTAATGTTCTATAAAGGCCATATACTATACCTGTGTTGGTGGATGACCCAACATATCTGATCGGGAAAAATGGTTCTAAACGAAAAAAAAAAAAAAAAAAAAACCAACAAAGACATAACATTGTCATAATTGTGCTAATTGAAATGCCGCATGTGTCGTGAAAAGAGGAAACTGTCTTCAATCCTATTTTCGTTTCCACCTATAAAGTTTCCATGTGTTTTAAATGATCAGTTCATCACTCAATCCAAAACTCAAGAATGCCCCAGTTATTATTATTATTATTTATTTATTTATTATTATTATTATTATTATTATTATTATTATTATTATTATTTTGTCCGGATTATGCAATTTAAAATAACACTGAACATTGGTTTCTGAAGTGCTAGCGGTAATTAGATCATGAATGCACTCATATCAAAAGAATCTTAAGATTTTTTAAATGGCAAAAAAAGAGACTACATTTGTATTTCTTACAAAAATAAATAATTCACATTTGTTTTCATGCAAATATTCATTTGACTTTGTGTTGTTTACTCAAAAACGAATGATTAAGTAGAACATTTATTGTGCGGACCGTTTTAATTAAGAGGCTTCCTTGCATTTCACATGTATGACATTTTATATTGAAATACTAGTTTTGTACGGAATGAAAATATATGAAATACACTTGTATGAAATAATAACATTATACGAATTTAGTCACTTACATGCGTCAATAAATAGATTACAGTTGTCTTGTCAATGTTAGTATCATCAGGGTAAACTATTTACATGCATTTTAGTATATAGCGCCACCATTTGATGTATATTCAATATTTTTAGCATTGTTAGTGCTTGCATCAGACAATATACTATATACCTATTGATAAAGTGAGCTTTAATTGTTAAACATATCATTTCTATACCGACAGACTTCCAACCAAATCTACGATACCTTAGTTATTGCTTTAAATTAGACTAGCATTTAATTTTTTTATGGATGTGATCCGTCGCTTTGTAAATGTTTTCGTGTCACCTATGGATCTCTTCACCACATATGAATCTCAAATGAAATGTTGGCGATAATTCCTTCATTTGGCGCCAAATGTCATTAAATGTATGTATAATGTTCTGCTTGAGTGTTAAGCATCGTTCTGTGGTGAGATTCGCAAAAAACATGTTATAGGTCCATTTTGTGACATTTTCTTCATACGCATTGCAAATTTTGGGCACGACAGAAGTCCAGAACCCATGATGGAAAAAAGACTACAAATATCTCTACATAGACTGCATAAATTTTCCATAAAAACTGGGTCAATATGAAGGAAAGTTAGTAGGGTAGAATGCCAGAATAACATTTTCCAAAATCTTTAAATTAGAATCTACATTTTTAGCTCACCTGTCACAAAGTGACAGGGTGAGCTTTTGTGATCGCTTTTCGTCCGGCGTCCGTCCGTCCGTCGTCCGTCCGTCCGTCCTTAAACTTTTACTTTAAATGACATCTCCTCATAAACCACTAAGCCAATTTCATCCAAACTTCACAGGAATGTTCCTTTGGTGGTCACCTTTAAAAATTGTTCAAAGAATTTAATTCCATGCAGAACTCTGGTTGCCATGGCAACTGAAAGAAAAAACTTTAAATATCTTCTTTTAAAAAACCATAAGAGCTAGAGCTTAGATATTTGGCATGAAACATCTTCTAGTGAGTGTCTACCAAGTTTGTTCAAATAAAAGCCCTGGGGTCAAAATTGGCCCTGTCCCAGGGGGTCATTGATTTTCCCTATATGCATATAGTAAAAACTTAAAAAATCTTCTTTTAAAGAATCCAAAGAGCTAGAGCTAAGATATTTAGCATGAAACATGTTCTAATGGGTGTCTACCAAGTTTGTTCAAATAAAAGCCCTGGGGTCAAAATTGACCCCGCCCCGGGGGGTCATTGATTTTCCCTATATGCATATAGTAAAAACTTAAAAAATCTTCTTTTAAAGAACTCAAAGAGCTATGGCTAAGATATTGAGCATCAAACATGTTTTAATAGGTGTCTACCAAGTTTGTTCAAATAAAAGCCCTGGGGTCAAAATTGGCCCCGCCCCAGGGGGTCATTGATTTTCCCTATATGCATATAGTAAAAACTTAAAAAATCTTCTTTTAAAGAACCAAAAGAGTTAGAGCTAAGATATTTAGCATGAAACATGTTCTAATAAGTGTCTACCAAGTTTGTACAAATAAAAGCCCTGGGGTCAAAATTGGCCCCGCCCCAGTGGGTCATTGATTTTCCCTATATGCATATAGTAAAAACTTAAAAAATCTTCTTTTAAAGAACTCAAAGAGCTATGGCTAAGATATTTAGCATCAAACATGTTCTAATAGGTGTCTACCAAGTTTGTTCAAATAAAAGCCCTGGGGTCAAAATTGGCACCGCCCCGGGGTTCATTGATTTTCCTTATATGTGTATAGCAAAAACTTAAAAAATCTTCTTTGAAAAAACCCAAATAGCTAAAGGTAAGATATTAAGCATGAAACATCTTTTAGAGAGTGTCTACAAAGTTTGTTCAAATAAAAGATCTGGGGTCAAAATTGGCCCTGCCCCGGGGGTCATTGATTTTCTTTATATGTGTATATATAGCAAAAACTTAAAAATCTTCTTTGAAAAAACCCAAATAGCTAGAGTTTAGATATTAAGCATGAAACATCTTCTAGTAAGTGTCTACAAAGTTTGTTCAAATAAAAGCCCTTGGGTCAAAACTGACCCGGCCCCAGAGGTGTCATTGTTTTTAAATGTATGTGTATAGTAAAAACTTAAAAAAATCTTCTTTTAAAAAGCCCAATGAGCTAAAGCTTAGATGTTTAGCACGAAACATCTTCTTATGGGTGTCTACCAAGTTTGTGCAAATAAAAGCCCTTGGGTTAAATTGGCCCTGCAACGTTGGGGGGGGGGCTATATACAGGTGAGCGACCTCAGGGCATCATGACCCTCTTGTTTATAACTTTTAATGTAAAAAAAATGTTTAAAACTTTGAAGACTGACCTTGAAACTGATTTTCTTTTGCTTTCACAAGAGTTATAGTGCACATGTATATGGATCAGCAAAAAGTCACATCTATTTTACCAGTGCTGAATTTTGAGAAACATTATAGTGCTGTACTGTAAAGCTGCGATGAAATAGCGTGAAAGTCAAGTGCAGTATTTAAGATGTTTCGTTTCATTGTATTAAAAGTGCTCGAACACAGTGCGCCACTTAGTTTATTCAACTCGTTCAATAAATTCAGTATTGTCACTCATTCAACCTCCTTTATATATAGTAATTATAGGATTTGGTGGACTTGGGTTCTTGCTGGTAGAAAGATGATCTTTTTGGTATTTATCTATATCGCACACAGTCTATGATTTTCCTGAAATCACGTCTTGGACGAGAAAACGATCCAAGATGTCAGCCTCCATGGTCACATTTGGTTTATAAATTTAAGAGGTTCTTATCTCTTTTAAATATACTTATATGCCCGAACGTCAGTTTGTTTTGAAGCAAAAAAAATAAAGTTACAGTTAATTTAATTCATGACTGAATATCATATCGTAGAATATAATAGAAAGAAGTTTTAAAACCTTTGACCTTGTTCTTTTTTTTGTAAAAAAATTT